AAAAAAAAAAAAAAAAAAATGAGTTAGAGTCTGTCAAGTTTTAAAAAAAGAAAATAGAAACGTGGGGAAGAGAGGGACAAAAGAAGGATTGAACTTACTCTTCCTTCAACTAAATCCTGTGTACCAATATTAACCACGGTGCACCCAATAGCCTTGGCTGAATTGAGGCCAAGGGTATGGTTCTCATTCCTTTCCCATGGGTTAAGAACCCGTTTTGTGTTAATAGCTCGCTCATCTATGGTCCCAGGAACAGCAATATTAATAAGTTTGCTGCAGCAATAAAATAAACAACAAAGTTAGGTATAGAAAAGGGGAGACATTTTTTTTAATTTAGATGATATTGAGTCCTGCATGTCTACCAAAGAAGGACTCCATCTTTTGCAAGATCAAACAATGCATCGGATGCTGGATCCATTGGAAGAAACTGACTCATGAATTTGTCTTCAGCCAAGTAGTTGTTAATATGAGCGACATAAGAAGCTTTCTCAGATTCATTAATTGCATGATGAACAGTTGTTGTAGCTGCCTTCAAAAACGAGGAAGAACTTTTTGTACCACCATCTTTTGCTACTGCTCGGGATTGCAGATTTAAATGTGCCTGCCATTCAACATCACTGAATAAGTTGCTAGGTTCAACGAAAATATAAGTAATACCCACAAATGTACTCACAAAATAAACCGTATATACCTGCCTTCACAGATATTTAAAACAAAAATAAAATCGCAGTTTCATTTCATGTTAGGTGCATGTATGTTAAGAGTCAAGAGGCCATTTGAACATCAATGGACATTGCAGAGTGTACGATTTATTTTCAATTATTTATTTGGGAAAGCAATAAACAGGAAAATAAATCCAGAATTACATAAAGACATAAGAGCAGAAAGAAACCATGTCTTAACTTTTCAGGGGTATAAAAAAACTCACCCTCAGGAAGGACTCAAAATCAATTTCTTCATCCATGTTCTGATACGACTCTGCCAAGGCCGCCTTAATCTCATCCTCGGTGAACAATTCAGCGAAACCCTTCAATTTCTTAAAAATAGGTGGCAAATTTCCGACAGTAACACGTCCCGATTGGGTCCTTTCCGACACATACTACAAACAACGTAACACAGACGCGCGTTTAGAGTCCAAAATTGGGTTTGAACTCAAAACAAGAGAAAGCAAGAAACATACCTTGGATTTGAGGGTCCGAAGCTCGACTTGAGTGAACTGGCTCTGAAGCCATTGATCGGAAACAAGAACGCCCACGAAACTAGACATGTTGGACCCAGTTGGAGAAAAAGAGCAGACATTCGAAACAACAGTGGCACAAAAACCAAACAAGCCAAGCAACGGAGATAACACGTTTGAAATGAAATTAACGATATGCGTGAATGCTTAAATGCTCAATTACAGCGATCAACAGAGATTGCGAGAAAGCACGAAGCGATTGGGAAATGAGAATTGAGAAAACGTAGCAAAGGGAGAGGGAATTTGGTGATGATTTTTGCGTTGGGAGCGAAAGGTGTTTGTTGTGTGGAGAAAAAAAGGTGTTGGCGAAAGGACCCGCGAAGACCAAGGGAATGCAACGCCAACGCATATATGAAATCGATTATTAATCAAACAAACACATTCCTATTCCTATTCCTATTCCTATAATAATAAACACATGCCATCAATTCCCCATCCCCACATTCCTTCCCTTTCTTGCTATTTCACAAACCAATCAAATCTCCCCACCCTCTCTACCCTCTACCATTTCTTCCTCCTTCCACTCAACTTTCTTATAATTTTCCTTTCCTTTACAAGGACAATCCAATAAATTCATTGTATAGAAATTAAAAATATAAATCTGAACTCAGTAACGACACTTATTTCCTCTTTCCTTATTCTACATCCACTCCTCACACGTTTATCTTTAAGAAGATATTCAAGTTTCCATTTGTCAATAAATAACAGATAAAGAAAAGGAAAGCCTGTTTGGTTACATATTTTTCCCGAAATTATTTTTACCCCCACCATACGAAACACTAGAGTTAAAATTAAGAAACACTAACAATAACTTCTTTTAATATTTTTTTTCTTCTTACACTCTTCTATTATTAGATGTAGTATATTGAAAACTCTCCAAGTTATCTCTTTTGATTTTCCTAGTTTAGGGTTTAGGTTCACAATAAAATTTGTAATTTAGGACCATATTAAAAAGAATATTAATAAGTGAGTATGTTAAATACAATGTTTTTCTTTATAAAAAAAAACATTAGTTAGAACTTAGAAAGTACGGGATATTAATTAAATATAAGCATGAAACATTAATTCTGTGAGATCCGTGAACCTTCTTTTCCCCCTTCTCTTCCTTTTCCTTGCCTAACCCTCGTTCCCTACTCACTCTCTCTTTTTCCTTCCTTGCTGACTCTAGGTAGTGGTGAAAGCAATCTGGATTGCTAGTTATTGTTCAGAGCCTCCTTTTCTTCCCTTCGGTTATTCAAGTTCATTCCTTCTTCACTTTCGTTCTCCTCTTCTCGGAAACTCGGAAAACTTTGCTCAAGGTAAGGGAAGTTAGTATAGTTGTGCTTTTTGAATAAGAATCATTGTTGTTTGTTTTTCAGTTGTTGAGATGGATGATAGTTGCTGATCTTGTGAGAAATTTCTGAAAATCTGAAATTTTGAGTTTTGGGGGACTTGGGCAAAATCTTGGCTTTTTGATGAATTTGATGTTGCATGTTGAAAAAGATGGTGTTTTTGGACTCTAGAATGAAAAAGTAGTCTTTGGAACCGATTGCATGTGGAATTTGCTGATTATTTTGCAGATTGTGGAAGAAATTTCGAAAATATGTGGTTTGCTGATGAATTCGCGCTGGGCGCAGTTCTTCGCGCCGGGCGCGTGGTCATCAGAGGATGGCATTTAGGCAGGCCGCTAGGCGCAGGGATGTGTGCGCTGGGCGGACTTGGCAATGTTAACCTCTGGATGACCCACGCTGGGCGAGAAACAAGCCGCGCCAGGCGCGATATCAGTAGCATACTGACTTTGGGGTTTTCTGGTTTGGCATTAAGCGCGATTTTTGCCGCCCTCGGCGTAGGGACTATTGGGAGTCTCTGCCAAGGGAGGCGCTGGGCGCAATTCAAATTGCGCCGGGCACGAGACCAAGGGAGGTCTCTGCTTTCCCCGCGCTGGGCGTGAGTTTGGGTGCGCCGGGCGCGGAAAACTACTGGGAGTCTCTGTTTGGCTGGCGCTGGGCGCAATTATTTATTGCGCCAAGTGAGAGAGAGCCTTGAGCCCTCTGGGTGAGTCTCGCCGGGCGCAGACAGGCTTGCACCGGGCGAGATGGCCTTCTGGTGCATTTTGGTTGTACTGCGCTGGGCGCGACTAAGAGCGCGCCAGGCGCCTCAGTGAGGTTGTGTTATTCACTGTAAAATGTTGATTTATGTCAAGTTGATTCGAAATAGATGAATACCATAGTAGATAAAAATGATTGATGATGTTGGGATATATATATATATATATATATAGTGGAATATTGTTGTTAGTTGTTATGTGAGTTGTATCAGTTGTGAAATGTTGTAAGTTTGATTTGTTAAGCTGAAAGGTTGTGTTGCTCTGTGTGTGTTACTTTTGTATGTTGTAGGCCGAAAGGCTGAGGAGTTGTAGGCCGAAAGGCTGAGGTGTTGTAGGAGATCTCCGAGGTGACATGCGTGACAACGCATTTTGTGTGTACTGGTAGATTTTGTGTGGAAATAATTGACTGAATATGCACTGATGAATTGTTGATGGTAGAAATCTCTATTACTGTTTAAATTCTTCCATATGCTGAGATTTTTATATACACTAGCTTACCCTTGTTATTTCCTTGTGGTTTGGACTGCAATGATCATACTTTGTATGGGAGCAGAACAAGGATAGGTTGTGACTGGTAGTGAAGCTGTAGCTGACTGATGGAGCTGATCTTCTTGGGATATTTGTCTTTTGTTGTTTAGCTACTTAATGTAATAACTGAATTGATGTATCTTTTTGTACACTTTAACTCTAGTCAGACTAGAACTTTGTATATTTATATATTCTAGATCCTATATTTATATACTTGTTTTATCTGTCTGGTGTTTCTAGTGTACGGTGCCGTGTGTAGTGACTAGCCGGGTCGTTACAAATTCAAAAATTTAATCTTAAATGTCTGAATAAATTATGAACCATGTTATAAATTGGCAAAAAAAAGAAAAAAAGATGGTTGTTATAAATAATTTATTAAGGTTGTTATTTTAAATGAGATTCATCTTGTTACATTATTTTTAAATAATTCATATTATATTTTTTAAAAATTTACTCTAATGATAAAATTTTATAAGCGGCTCACATTTTTATAATTTTTTTATTTATACATTATTTTTTGACAACTTAAAAAATTAATATAATTATTATAATTAAATATAATAAATAATATTTTTTGATTTGTGTAAATGATTTATGTTCTAAGTAACATTACTTATTTAAGAATTGTTATTTGTTTTTAAGTAATTTCGTGTGTGATGTCATTACGTTCTAATGAAAATTGCTAATAAATATCATTATTTACTAGCAAAATATATTACGAACACACTACTGCATTAAAGATACTTTCATAAAAAGGAATGTATAATAAACTTGATGGTAAACTCTAAGCGAACTTGTGAGTTACATGGTCCAATCCTTTAACAAGTTACATGCAATCCCTTTTAACATTTATTTTAATTGATATATTTTTTATTTTTTAAGAATGATTTACTTTGATTGAAAATTCTATCATCTCATTTTTTTTGACATTTCCGATTTTAACACATGAACTAAAATATATTGGTTATTTTTATTCAGGAACATAATCCAAGTAGTGTTCCAAATAGGGATGGATACGGGGCGGGTCGGGTACGGGTTTCATGATACCCGTCCCCGTCTCCACGAATTAAACACATTCTCGTCCCCGTCTCCATACCTATCGGGTATAGATTTTCATCCCCATCCCCGTCTCTGTCGGGTATCGGGTATACCCGTACCCGTACCCGTACCGTCAATTTTCTTTTTTTTTTTGCAAAAAAATAATATTTTTAAATTATTTTTTTTATTATATTATAATTATAATTAAGTTATTTCTTTATCTTATATTATAATAAATAATTACACATAAGAAAATATTAAATTTTTTTTAATATAATTAAATTAAAAATGAGTATTAAATTAAAAATGAGAACGGGAACGGGAACGGGGCGGGTAAGTACATACCCGTACCCGGACCTGGTCAAACCGGGTATTCCCCGTCAAAGTCGGGACGGGTTCGGGTATTATCCGTGGATACGAGTATGTTTGTCATCCGTAGTTCCAAATCTAACAACCAAAGACTAATCTACAACTGCAGGACATGACTTTCGTTAACCAAGTATTATTTTAAAAATTAAAATATATAATTATTATTTTAAACTTCATAAAAAAATATGCAGTTTCTTATATAATCATTGTCTTATTTTCTAATTCATTTAAACTTATTTTTTGTTTCCTTATTCAAAAATAAATGGTTAAAGATATAATAAAAAAAATATTAATGCTTTGTTGATGTTGGAAAATGATAATTAAAATGGACATTTTTTTTACTAAGACGTCAAATAAAATGAGACCGATGAAATACTTAAATGTCAGGTTTTTCACATAATTCAATATTTAAATTTGTACCGATATTTAACTTTTTTTACTAGTCCCTTATACCGTCATCTCGCGAAACATTTCCACAACCAATTGAGTTTCCGAGAAAACATGCATTTCATAGGTAGTATATGTCCATAATTGCAAAGTTAAAAATTATTTTCCTTGTAAAGTGTGATTTAAACATACAAACTTGTGTTATAATGTATTAAATGTTTGAATATTAATTTAAAATTACATTTAATAAAAAAATCGAAAAAGAAAAAAAATTATAAATGTAACTTTTATTTCAACTCTAATTGAGTGGTTAAGCCGTAACAATAAAGTTAAATGTGTATAAAACCATTATTTCCGAATTATTACAAATGCCTTATGGAAAGCAAAGTGTGAAAGTGGCTTATATAGTATTTTGATTTGGGCTTGTGACTCGACTCAATTCGTATAATGAACTAGATTACCATTACTTAGTATGTGACTAACTCATGCAATTGAGGGTGTTGATTGAAGTTAACATTCAAGTGCCAAATTTCTAGGACACAATTGTGAATAATGGAGCATACATTGTCTTGGAGTAAAGTTAATCGTATTTTTACTCAAAAACATAGTATTATTGCCCCAAGAATCTTATACCATCTGCAAAGGAATCCAATCGAACAAATTCTTATAAATGCAATAAACATCACTAAAGTATTTATTATATACTATCACTCTTGTCATATAGTCATTACTAATTAACTTGAGTATTAGAGCATTTTTTAAAATGCTTATCTTTTGCTTGCGGTATCTTGATCTTGTCGGAGTATCTTAGTATGAGATCTTGAGCTTTGGTCCACATAAATGTTCATCTCGAACAACATCAACTAAAGTACACTCAAAGTCAATAATATTTTCTTGGACACATCACATAGTGTAAGAACATGGAATACATGAAATCAATGCTTGAGATAGTGTTATTTCAGCAACAAGTAACTTATACTTGGAATGCTAGTAGTAATTTATTTATTCTTTTACCGCTCACGTTTCTTCTTTGTGATTTACAACAAATGCTTCCCTAGCCTTTAGTGCTTTACTCATATAGCTTGATTGCACTTCACATTGACACAAATCCAGTGTTTCACAATAGAAACAAACTCTTGGAAACTGAGTTTCTCATTGTGTGTGAAACGAGTCAAAGCAATGTTATATGTTTGTTCCTCATCTCTTCTCATTGTCAGGTCACTATTTTTTTTTTTACCAAGGCGTCCCCTTTGCCTCATTTTCATTCTTTACTTTTCAAGCTTGAAAAAGTAGATTTCTTTAACTTCAAACAAAATGTACCTGATCCATGCCAACACTGTCATTGACAAAGATGCAAAACAGACATACTCTCTAGATTTTTCTTACATGGTTACGCATATGTTAAGCTGGAGCAAAATGACAAAGAATGATTATTTATATTTAATTAAGAGCTGTTATGATCACATTGTTACATTAAGTCTCAGGCTACCTTAGTGAGCTATATATACGCATGTGTGTGTATCAAGTTCTATGTATGAATAATCAATGAGTTAATTACCTATACATTGTTAATGTAAATTTTTTTTTATTCTGACAACTAATTATATTTTTTAATTGTATCATGTCACTTACTTTTAACAGTGACATGATATAATTAAAAGATTTAATTGGTTTTCAGTGTAAAAAAATTTACACTTACAGTGTATAAGTGATTAACTCATAATCAATATAGCCCTTATCACTCCTCTGCATATTTCTCTTTTCCTACTCTTTTTCCACTTATGTACCGATGGGTTCCAAATTATTTTAAATGAGTCAAAAAATAGTAGATTTTTTTTTCATTAAAATAAATAAATAAAATAGTAGATTGAATATCTCCGACATGACTCGCTTTAAAGAAAGGATTAAAAGGGTTGGTCCAACAAATCAAATATGTTTTGCCACCCATATTTAAAAAGCTTAATAATAACATCGTTTTATTTTCACTTCTCCCCTATAAACCAAAAATTAAAAAATCCTCTCCCCTATCAACCAATAAGTGTATCCTTGAAGAAAGCTGAACACATACTGTTATAGCCTGTCATGATCAAACTTGATTACTATAAAACCTTCTCTCTTACTTTTTTTAAGAGTGAGTCACTTCCTCTGGTATCACTATGTTGTTGGAATTGTGCCAACCTGGAATGAAACTGTTCTGATTATTAGGAGAAATAAAGGCGTCTAGCTGGCACTTAAACCAATTTCTAATTATCTTTGTTATTATTTTGAAAATGACATTGCAAAGATTTGTTGGCTTGAATTACTTTAGCATCTCATAATTATCGACCTTTTTATCGTCAAGGAACCATAAACTTTTCGAATAAGAAACAAATCAATTATGCATCGGAAGTGGACTTTAACCCCGTACTAATTTTACTTGCAATGTTGGAGTTTGAATTATGAAATCCTATGCAGCCAAAAGCTGTCAAGGAAAAAAAATGCTAATAATACTTACAAGATTTGGATTTTAAAAAATGTCCTTTAATTGTTTTCCAAAACCGCATCTGCTGTCACATGCCACTAGGATAGGAAAATACCGGGTCTTCAGGAGCTAGAACGTTAAAAGGTCCGATATAAAATCTGCATTTTCAATTTCACCATCCGTAAAAAGAGCTTGTAAATCAGCCAACCCATCATTTAATTTCGAGAAACATCTCTTAAGGGAATAAAAATATAAAATCAACTTTAGGTATAGACTTTTAAAGTGTCGGCATTTAAACTCTCAAAAAAGTAGATACAGTCATAACATGACAACCACATAACATGCCAGCCACATGCTATGAGATTTACAAAAAATAGTGGAACAGTGGAAAGAAATCACATTCTCATACATATATTGAATAACACTTATGTTCAAAAAAAATTGATTCAAATCAAAGCAAGTAGCACCAAATGTAGATACATAAACATAATCTAAATTAAATATTCAATAGGAAGGAAGAGTCCCATCATCACATGAGGACCAGCAAAGCAAAAGTTGCCAAGACAAGGTTGGCCAAGATTCCACAGCTGATGAGCTTGTGAGAATAGGATCCATCATGAGTAGATGATGGAGAAGATGCTTTGCTATCTGCACTGTGTTCGGTTGGAGAATCTGCAGCAGGTGCGACATCAGGAGTTGGTGCAGGAGCAGGAGCAGGAGGAATGTCAGTGCCAAAAATGGCCTCAGGCAGTAGCACCTTGTCAACTTGATATATTGCAACAGGATCTGTGGCATGAACAGCACTGCTCACCTTGGTCTTTGACCACCCTGAACTAACGTGCACTGTGCCAGAATCATAAGTGAAGTTCAAAGTGTAATCCCCTCCAGCAAATGTGGGAGTGGAGCTGGTTTGGCTGAGGTTTTTGAAGTCAGCTAGGGAATAGAAATGTGGCAAGGCATGGAAGAGGACCACTTGCTTTAACTGGTCTGAGGTGAGTTTGGATAGGGAAGTTTTCTTCACAGCTGAGAAGGCACTGTCCTTTGGAACAAAGATGGTGATCCCTTCTTCAGTGTTGTTGGCTTGGTTTTGGAAAGTGTCAAGCACTTTGGTGGACTCAAGGTATCCCAGGAAGGTGTGGAATGGACCAGCAACACTGAGCAAATCAGTGAGATTCACAAAGTCTGGTGCAGGTGCTGGTGCTGGAGTTGGGGTCAGACTCACAGAGGGAGGACTTGCAGTTTTGGCAAATGCTGAACTCAGAAGCAGCATTATGTTGCTAACAATGAAAATCATGGAAAACTCCATTTTTTCCTTGTCCACCGGTTTATATCCTACTTTGCAATATCAACAGTCTCTCCAAATTCCTGTAAGAAAAGAGCTCCACAGTGTTAGATCTCGTCTTAACACAACCTCCCCACCTTTGAAAAAAATAAATAATGCGGGGACAAAAAAATGAAATCCAACTTCAAACTCAATCTCCAACAAATAAATATTAAATAATCATAATTTTTTCACCTACCCTTCTTTACAAAACACTGAAAAGTTTTCAACAACTTACTAACAAATCTAGAGACTAACATAATAATGGCCGAAACCAGATCTTAAAAAAGCTAACATAGGGGAACAAAAGAAAAATAATAAAATATTCAGTACAGTATGATATGCATTAGGGAAGATCCAGGAATGCTAATTGGACAAGGATAAGCAGATCCGAACATAACATAAACACTACAACAATTTGACGGAAGTGAAGAACACTTCAAATGTGCTACTTTTGCCTCACGCTAGTGAAAATGTTAAATTCGACCAGCATGCGTGTCCAGGAAGACCAAATTTCTAAATGCTATATTCGAGATCAGACACCTAATAAGGAAAAAATGTTAAAATAGTATATTTTTTTTTGAATATCACCCTCAATTGCTATGGAATCCGTTACTAACTCATTTTCCCCCGAAAGTTTCCAACTTCTTGATAAACCAAAGGCAAATGTAGGTAAGTTAGAGTAGTGAAGTACAGAATGCCTCAGTTCACATCATTACATCAAGTCATGAACCCCGCAATGAAATGAGACAGATCTAGACTAGCTGATCCAAAATCACAAGCACCCAGAAGGCAAAAATGACATGTAGATGTGAAAAAGCAAGAAAAATGAAAACTTTGGAGGAAAGCAGGAATTGAATGAGATTGAAGAGCACAGACCTGAAGGAGAGGAATTGAGAGAGAGAGAGAGAAGGAGAATGTGAAGGACGAGGAATGAGAATGGAAAGAGGGTATATAAAGATGAAATATGGAGGGTACGTAGGAAGGGAATAGAGAGATGGTTGAAAGTTGAGTGTGATTCTTGTTATTATACTTTAATGGAAAATGCTTGTCTGGAACACACCTTTTTCTCTGCTTGTATGGTGACCTTTCCATATCCACTTGAACCAATTTACTTATTTAACCCATCATACTTCATAGACCAACCTTCCACTCTACCCCACCATTCTCCCATCTCGCTAACCTACTTACATCATACATTATCTTTTCCTTTCTACTTTTACTTTCATCACGGAAGACGTATCTCCTACCCTTCCATTTTTAACACTAATTATTATAACAATAATAATTCTTATACAAGTGATGTTTCTCTGTTACAAAATACATTCCAATACTCAAATCTTACTTTAGTAAGCTAAAATTATATATTTAAAAATGTTTATTACCAGAAAATTGCTTCACAATGAACATCTTTAAAAAATAAATGATGAAAATCGTAAGCTATTAGTACCATACGATTTCTCACCAGCGAGTTGGTATTTAAATTTGACATACTATACAGCAGTTCTTTTTACGGAAAGAAAAATAAATAAATTACAAATGATGTAGAAGAAAAATAATTAGTGCACATGACTAATATGACTAATTAGGACACATGAATTTCGTTAAACAACACCTTTTAATTATTCCAACGCACATGCCAACATCAAAATGTAATAAACAAAGGAAGTAGTTAAGCTATCCAAACTCAACTCCCTTTTGACAAAGTTCATCGTTCATTGCTTGTAATTTTACTTCGTGAAATTAAAGCAAGAGTAATAGGATTCAAACATACTCAGGGATGAGAATGAAGATATAAAAGAAACCCATTGTTCTAGAAAAGAAAAGAAAAAATAGTCGTTGGAATGAGAGGTTGGGGTCTCCATCTTATATGAATGTTTAATTTTCTCATGACATGTTGCTTTGATATCTGTGTCAATTAGTTTTATAAGTGGCTCTTCACTAGCCCAATTTAGTTAAATGGTATTTTATATTAGCACCTTTCCTTTATCACTGTTTTACTGTTTTGAAATTAATATATACCCAGAAAGAAAGGGGAAAATAAAATAAAGATGTGTCCATGTGTAGGAAGAGTGGCATGAATATTTGTAGAAATGAGAAGATGAAAGATTGTTTTCAATGTGACTTGCAAGGATAGCCCTTTCATATTGATTCTATGACTCATTCGATTTAGTGGGTCTTTCAATCTTTTACGCGTCCTTTCGTAGAAAATGATTGCATAGTGATGTAATAAATGATAATGCCCTTCAGGGAAATTCATCATAATTTCTCAACAAAATGAACAAACATAATACCAAATACTGTAGTTTAAGCAACTTATTGTATAGAATAGAGGAGAAACATCTTTGCATGTTCATGCGAAATTTCATGGACAAACATTTTCGTAAGGTTGGGTAAAATTTATGGCGAAATTTATATTTACTTCTTATATATAGAAACGTAATTAGCATTATGGCTGTTGGGTAAAATTAAAAATTATTTTGTAAGGTTGTCCACAATACATATGAACTAAAGATATAGATGTAATTAGATGCATCGAAGGTGGGAATAGAAATGATAGTGGGCCAAGGACAGTTGGAGACTAATAAATGGGCTTCATGATCAAGTTTTATTAATTTGATTACGCTTGTGTAACCATCAAGACATAAGACTAGGTTTTGGTTTTCCAAAACACTAATCTATTTAGCAAACCGTCACTAGATGTATTTCTAACGGACTAAAGTATAATGTTAGAAAAAGTGATGTATTAAATTTTATTAATCAACAAATGTAACAAAATTGATTAGATACGGTAACTACCAAGATTGAATCGTGAATACTACTAACACCAAGTTCCATCAATCACAATAGTGATATATGTAAAGGCCAAAAAATAAGAGCCATTAGTCATAAGTTGACCCAAAAAGGAAAGAGACCATAACATTAATTAATTAAAGCAAGAGAGAAAAAAAAAATTTCTCATTCCAAAAAAGAATCTATGTATGTATCTTCCATTTCACTCCTCATTGGTTGAAAAGCCCACATACCATGACTTTGCTTCAAATTACATTCAAGACTCAATCAACATGACTGCTAAGTAAAAAAATCATGCCTCAGATTTAGATTAGCAAAAGTAGTGAAGCTAAGGAGAGTTATAAAAATTAAAAAAGAGACAAGTAGGGCACTTTTATTAGGAAAATTACAAAAGAATCATCTTTGCCTCTGAAAAATATTTTAGTACAAGCCGAATTAAAGTACCTAACATATATCTGAACTTGTCAAGTCATTGAAATAAAAGTTTAAATATATTAGACTAAACGAAGAAGAGTTACTGTTGCAAATGCAAATTGGGTAGATATTGGCATCAATGTTCAAGCCCATTCCTTCTTAATATCAAAAGTGTAGTTGATCTCCAAGTAGCATTTGTTGTCATCATCAAGAAACTGCAAAAGCAAAATTATGATATAGTTTATGGCTGTATCATTAATTCGTTATCACACAACAATAGAAGAAACGGAGAAATTTATTCAAATATATTTAGTAGAAAATTAGTAATAATACCTTTGATCTTGCAGAATATGTTCCTCTTGCAAATAGGCCAGAAGGTGTGGTTTCTTCTGGCATCTCATGTGTGTAAGGCTCTGCCTGAGGGCTAAAAGTTCCAAGCATCTCTTTTGAGCTATCCACTGAAATCAAAGTTGTTGCAAGAGGGTGCTTCAAGTTTTACATATTGCAAGTTTAATTTGGAATGAATTAGGCATAAGAAACTTACCCTTCACACCAGTCTTCCAAACAGTGTTGGTGTATTTCAAGCCAGACACAATATTATTGTTGACTTGGAAGGTGAATTTCAAGTGGTAATGACTACCTTCTTTAAGAGTGAACCATAAACCCTTTGGATTCCCATTTTCAGGAATGGGAAGAACAATGTCGTTTCTATCAGGAGAGACGATAGACAGACAGGTAATTTTCACTTCAGGCTCCAGAATTTCTGCAAATAAAGATTAACGTCATAAACCATGCAATTAATAATACATTTATCTGGTATAAAATTTTTTACATTGTTAACTTTTATTATATTTATCTTAACAATCATATACCATGATTTTTTATTGAGAGAGTACCAACTTTTACACTGAGAGCATGCTCGTTAAACTCAAACAGAAAAGGGAATATATAATAAACATATCACAAAATGGCACTCATACTCATACATAAAAGAAATCTTGCAAATATTGTTCAGAAAAACAAAAACCAGAGCTACTAGTTTTAATGGATTATAGTGAATATTATGATTCTTCAAACTGTTAATTACAGGAAATGAAAATGCTGCTTTAAATGGTTCCTCTTGTTTAGAGGTGTAAATTTTTTTTGACTCGGGGGGTTGGCTCAATGGTCCAAATCATACTATAAAAAATTCCAAAAAGAATTGAATAGCTAACTTTTAGGTTCAAAACCAACAATATGGTATTTTTTTTCTTTGTAAAATTTACATAAATATAAATAAAATAAAATAAAGTGGATTAATTTGACTTATCACCAAGTGACTAAATCACAAAATAAATAATCCATATAAAAAAATTAGATGTGTTGAACCAACTCACATATATTCATCCTTGAAACCCATTTATCAGTTATGATCATCTTCATGTAATTGCATGCATCAATATAATAATAATAATTATTATTATTATAAATAATTAAGCAGCATAACATAGCCCTAAAGTTAATTTAGAAATAAAACATAATGCACATTTGAATATTACAAGCTTTCATGCTCTCGCACAATAGTCCTGCTATAACTTGAACAAAAGAAATAAAACGTATGATGTGTTTTTTTTAATACAAGTGATCTTAGACAAAAGATATATAAACCTGCAACATTGTTCACATCCACACTTCCAAGGAGTTGTTCCTTCCATCTCCTCAAACTCTCATCATCCTACATTAATCCCATAATACCAAAAATAAAATAAAATATATTTGTTGAGGAATGAAGCAAGAAATATGAGATGTTAAACTTGAGCAGACAGACACATACAAACCTTATCTTTCTCAAGGTGCTCTTTAAGAGTGCACTGAGGACCAAGTTGTATTTTGGATCCAAGTTCATCCTCTTCCTCCTCAGTTGCATAGACAGAAGACTCACTCACTTGCCTGCTCAATGGCTCACCATCACTCTTTGAATTTTCTTCATGTACATGATCCGTTGCGTCACTATTCTCTCCAGTTTCCTTGTTTTCATCGAACCCCATCTTCTTGGAACTTGAAACAGCTCCAACAGGGAACCTCGTTAACTCATCAACAGTCACCAAAGCCCCACACCCAACAAATGCCAACCAAGATATGTTACGTAAGGCAACAATTAATGTCAAAATATTTTGAAGGGATTGGTGAAATTGAAAAAGGAAATAAAAGTTTGTGTCTCACAAACACACAATAACTAGAAGCAAAAAAAGGCTGAGAGGAAAAATGGCTTATTTGTCTCCTACCCTGCTTTTTTGTGGTGGGTTCATCAATATTTCAGGAACAAACAGAAATTCATGGCTAATCTCTGGAAATGGTCATGTGGTCATCCGAAATATTAGTAAACGTTACTCACCACCTAATACTCATGTCTTTTCTTTAATCTTCATTCTTCATTTTTATTTTCGACTAATTTTTAGGATTTTAAAATTAGCCTACAAAGTATTTTTGGCATCTTATACCTACTAAATTTCATTTTTCTATTTTAACTTCTCAAAACAGTTATTATTTTCACCATGGTTTTGAATAATTTTTATATTCGATTCAAGAAATAAAAATTGTCTTATTAAATTTACCTTCATAAAAATTATTAAAAAAAAAATAAGAGCCATTAGTAGTGAAATGACCAAAAGTACAAGAGACATAGTGCATGTTTGGATCAACGTTGGATACCTTCCAAACTTTTGTTTTTTTGCCTGAAAGTGAATTTACGTTTATGTTATGATAAACGCTTTTTTCAAACATGCTATAATAGATTAAGAGTTAATCAATTATATACTGTCAGTGTAAAAAAAATTTATATTGATAATTAATCATATTTTTAATAGTGTCATGTCAGTTGCTTATTTAATGAAATAATAATAAAATAAGTAACTTTAAAAGATATGATTGGTTACTAGTGTAAAAAATTTTACATTAATAATGTATGAATGATTAACTCATAGATTAATCTTTCGTTATTAGATTTGAGATATTGTTCATTGATAAAAAGAAATTGTTTTCATTCACAATTGCATACTCTATCAATATTCATAATAGTGTGCTCAATGTTTATTTAGGCACCTATTTGTTTTAAGTCAACAATAAATTTTTCTCTTGGGGGATACTGATTCATGGACATTGGGCTGATCTGTTCAAGATTCAGAGTCTGTTTACCAGGCAGATAAATAACAAAAGGCCCACATGTGGTCAATTACCACACTTTTTAATTATATGAACAGGGAATTTTAAATTGTGTTCAGTTGTTAAAAAGGAAGGCCCAATAGTTGTAGAAAAAAATAGTTTAGTTTTTTTATTCATCCTCGGTTTGTTGAATTTTTGTTATACACTAAAAGGGGCAAAAAGCCCAAAACAAACATCAGAACATTAGAACTGCCACTGCCAATTATTCCATCTTCAACAGTGGTATTTACTGCACAATATGTACACCTGTTGGTGGATGATTGATTTTCACTGAAAATTTAATTTGACTGCCAATTTTAGTGAAATCTTTTAATAAAACAAAAATTGGAATTTTTTGAGGTAAATGCACAGTGATGATGCTCTAGCAACATTGAAAGAAGGACCATATTGTTGCCTAATGTTTGATTAAGGCATGGCACCTTTTCATGCCCTGGACAAACACATTTAGCAATAACTTTTTCTTTTAGGTGTCTGTTTCCACATTTACAGCTACCAGAATTACTGTTATGTGCTTGTTAGGTAAATAATTCCAATGTGAATCATGATGTCATGAATAAAATGTTATTCTTAACCCTCCTCGTTCTATTTTTGAGGCAAAGAAATCCTCAGCACAAGAAACCACTATTCTCTACTATTGGTTAGGGATTCTTGTACCTCAAATTTGGAATATTTGTTTTTTAAGGGAGAGAAACAAAAATACAATATATATTAAATATTTTATACTTGGAGCGTTTCTTGAGGGTCTTAAATAATTTATAACATGATATAAATTTAAAACATAATTTATATATTAAAATATAAGATGCATAATTTTTTTAATAAGTATTACGTATTTAAATGGGAAACAAATAATTGAGAGCAAGAAATGAATTACCTTAAAGACCAAGAATGAAGATAAAATGAGAGAGCAACGAGGAAATGAGAATGAGAATGAGAGGAGCAGACATTCTCTGTTCCCGTCCCACGCGAGTGCCATACAATTTGGTTTGACATTTTCTTTTATATATATTTTGAAGACAAAATTCGTGAAATTTATTTATTTTAATAAATTTTCTCCAACAAAAAATAATATATTTTTTAATTATGGAGCAATTATGTAGAACGTTATTGGTTAATGCGACAAATGTTTAGCCATAGGCAATAGGGCACATAAGATTCAATGGTGGCATGATTCATGTATTTTGATTTTGCAATTGTTGTCTCATCACATCAAAATCATAAGGAGAAAGCAGCCACAAAACGACTACGAGGTCGGTGTGTGATTTCCACGTGGCGTCTAGGCATTGGGGGAGAATTCGGCACCAGAAGTGTATAAGGGGCCCACTAACATGGGCCCAATGGCCCACGAGCCGACCAAGGCCCATATAGTTTAGGTGAACGACGGTTTGTTGCTTTATTTGCGTCATTTGCTGATCTGGAACCATCCTTTCCTCATTTGCTGCCAGCTACCGTACGGACCCTTCTCCATTTTTTTTTTTTTTTTTTTTTTTTGGATTATGGGAATATATAATTAATGTTAATTGCTAAATGCAAATGATAAAAAATTTCAATGTCTATTCATAATGTTATTATTTTTTATTGCTTGACTCTAAAATTGTTTATTAACTGTGCATAAAAATTAAACTCGATTATCATTGCTTTATAATTATTATAATTATAATTATAGTTCTTGTATAATTATATTTTAAAAGCATAATAATTGTTTGGTACGAAGTCCTTCCCATAATACACAACGTCACGACCCTTGTAATTTCACCAGTGAATGAGTATGATGGATGTCACATAATGTGGGTGAAAGTTAAAAATTGGTCTCAAATCAAATCTTATTTACACATGATTCGCACTATATTTTAGCAACAATTTTCCCCCGTCATCTGTCTTCTTTGAAGATTTTCATTCATATTGTCACTTTGTCACTCATATCATCATTCTTAATGATAACATTAAGAATGTTATCATTCTTAATTCTGCTTAAAATTTTCGTTACAAATTCAATAATGATAAGAAAAAAAAATCTCTACATAAGAAGCTTAAATTATTTTAAGAATAATTAATTATATTTTATATTCTTTCATATAAATTTACATCATGTTGAGATAGATGATTATTAAATTTTTTTAAAAGAGATTAATAATTAATTTTAACTTTTTAAGTATGAAATTGTATCTTATCCTAATATAATTTTTTTTATAATAAAAAAATCTCATTTTATACATAATTACACATATTCCTTATTTGTTAGAATATAAAAATTAAATGACTCATAATAAATTTTAAATTTTTATATTATTGACTTTTAATAGAGGAGTTAAATTAAAGGGACCATTACATTTTTGAGTTTATGAAGAGATTCCTCATCTTTCTTATAAAAAATTTGTTATTCACACATTCAAAAAAGATAAATATTAGAAGTCTTATCTATTTTCTTTTTTCTTCTAATATTTATCTGAACTTTTTGTGATAATAATGACTATAAGTAGATGTATGTTTTCATATTATCTTCTATATTATTTGTTTTTATTCATTGATATGCATTAAAAATTAATAACAAAATAATAAATATTTTATTATATTCATCATAGAGGTTTAATATTATTCTCTATTTTATATTTTCTCCAAATCCTTAATTTAACTTGTGTCCCGATTAAGGTTTACACTAGTACAAAAATAGAATTTTACGTCGCTCCATTTACGTCAGAACTCTCAAAATACGACGTTATAAATACGCGGTGGCATTGTCGTAAATAAAGCTAACTAATTTACGTCGGACAAGAGAGGTCCGACGTAAATTAAACAATCTCCGTCAGACACAATTACGCTCCGACGTAGATTGCATAATTTACGTCGGACCTCCCTTGTCCGACGTAAATAATCCACAAGACCGTGCACCCCTTAAAATCTTGTCACTAGCTGAACATTTTGGAGATTTCAAAAACTTCTTCTCCCGCGCGTTGAAACCTAAAGGATACTTCTTCCTACTCCTTCCTTTCCAGATTGCAAGTTCAGGAAATTTGCAATCCTACTCCTTCCTTCCTTATAATTTTTCTGACATTTCAGTCTCCATTCATACGGCAAATGAGTGAGGAAGCAAAACAGGTGATATAACCTTTCTGTTGACATTGTGATTTCCTAGTGAAACTTTTTTTCTTACTGATATGTGTGTTCCTTTTCTTGCTGAAGCCAAGCCTGAGGAGAACAGAGAGAAGCCAGAGGAAAAACTAGCAGAGGAAAATAAGGAGGAGGAAAAGCCAAAAGAAAAGCTAAGTCTGGGTTGCAGAACGGGCCGTTCTCCAAAGCAGAACGGCCCGTTCTGCTTGCAGTCATTTTTCCTTCTTTTTTTTAATTTAATTTTTTTACAATTTTTTACGTCGGACTTGTTATGTGCGACATAAATTTACGTCAGTTTTTTATCACTGACGTAAATTTACATCTCTCGCTTCTACATCGGGAGATTTTCCAACGTAAAACGCCTAAAATAAGCGACGTAGAATATATATTCTGTATTAGTGTTACTAATAAATGACTTGTACATATAAAGAAAGATTTGTTAATCTATTTTGATAAGGTAGGTTTGGTTATTTAAAAAATTATAAAATTAGCTTCCGAATAAAAATTTTGCCTTGTTTTTAAAATTGTTCCACGTTATATATATATATATATTGAATGTCACTCGGCTTAAAATGAAAAACGGCTGTCACTCTCTAATGAGATGAAAAAGAATAAAGTCATATATTACCTACAAATACAAATTTATTTAGTATCCCTAATTTTAAACTTCTTCCCAAAAGAGCGTACCCATAGTTAAGAATAAAGTCAATATATTGAGCAACACTGTTGAGCTTAATAAATGACCCATAAGATCCAAAACGGGAAACCTTTTGATACTACATCAACTGTAATACAACTTAAGTAGACATAAATTTACAAGATTATCTCCTATAGAGGCGTTTTTAAGGCTTTTTATCATGCAAGAAACACCACCAAATCCTTAAGAACAATTTCTAGCTCATACACCCTCGTTTTCTTTTTCTAAATACTGATTTGAGTTCTGCATATATATACTACCAAAATTTGTCTCGTGCAAACTCGAGAGAATTCCATTTAGATAGTATTGAACAGACAAACATACTCGTTTTTAAAAATTATAAAAATCCTACCTTAATTCTTAAAAATAATGAGTAATTATAATAATATATTTTGTATTTATCTATATTAAATAAAGGAGATTAATTCTTCCATTTGATGCTCACATTTTTAGGTAATTTTATTCTTATAACTACTCTTTTATAAATTACAAAATATTTTATTTTATTTTTGTATATTTCACTTTATAACCATTAATATTTTTAATAATCATCCACTATTATATTTATTTATTTATTTATTTTTTTAAAAAATAATTTACGGAAGTAAAAAGTGACTTTGTACAGTATTATTAATAAAATTGATATTTATGGTGTTTAGGTTAGGTCTAGGAGCTAATGTAAGATTTGTATATCATTAAATGTTAATGTATGTCATTAAATTTCTCAAAGATGAATTTAAAGTTTTACCTAAGAAAAGTAGTTAACAGAGGCATTTGTTTAGCACATTGAGGTTTTTGTTTTTTTACCATTAAATCATAATTGAATAACCATGAATTTGGTAATTCTCCCTGAAAATCCGACTGCACAAAGCACATAATCTTAGAACCAAAAGAATGATGATTTCAATGAAAAATCGTGCTCCATTATTCAGGCTCCCAGTAGAGTGATCCGAAACAAGCATTATAAAATAATAATATAACCTCATCTCTAAGCCTTTGTCACCATTATCGCCAAACATATGCTTATTAACATTCAGTGAAGGGGTGTCAAATCCCAAGATTCTTGAACTGTCCCCACCTTTTTTTTTCTTTGATCAACTTGAGGCCTTTACCTCTATATAAACCACTCTTAATGCTCATTTCTTTTCATCAAAAGCATAGTTTTCTATATCACTCTCAACTTTCCTTTTCAAATCACTTGCATATTCCTTGGTATTCCAATGGCCACTGTTGAGGTAACTCTATTACATACTTGATAAATAATACTCTATCTAATTCACATGTTTCGTCAAATTTCCTGGCTTTATGTTGTTTCTGATTACTTTCTTTTATTTTCATTTTCGGTTTAATATTAAGCATATCCTTGCTTCTATATCTTGTCTTAGACAGAAAATTATTCATTTTCTTTAGCCGTGTAGTCCAACTGGCAATTTTTTCTTCTTCTGAAATTCTTGTCAGATAAAGCGAAAAAAATGACAGCAGCATGAATCGGTTTGATACAACCACTTGGTATCTTTTTAATATATAACTCTGTCAAAAAGATTGAACTCCCTTCATATACATAATTTTGCTCAGAAAATTATACAGGAAGTATAAATGAAGTTACTAAAATGTAAATTTCAATTAGTTTGTCATCTCAGACAGAAGTCACTTGAATCATGTGCTTTCTCTATCTGTCATAACTTCCGAGTATTAAAAGAAACATTGAATCTATATTAATCGGAAAACTTTGAAACTCAATATTACTAATGTATATTGCAGCTATTATGAGAAGGGCTGCATTAACCAATAGTTAACCAAAGTAAAGAAGAATAATTAAGAATTGTTAAAACTGCATGTCCACCGACTTATTATGTTTTTTTTTCAGCAGAATTCAAGTTAGGATTCTAATAAACAACAAATGAATTTTCATCTGAGTGTGTCTTTGTCTGTTGAAATTGGAATTTGTAGGTTGTATCAGCAAAGGCTGCCCTCCCGGAGGACACAACAGATGTATCATTGAAGGGTGATGAGAAGAAAACCACAGAAGAAGTTGTTGAGACTCCAACACCAGCAACAGAGCCTGTCACTGAGGAAACCAAGGAGGGAACTGAGGCACCACAACCTGCAGCTTCAGAAGATAAGCCCTCGGTTGAAGTTGAAACCAAAGAGGTGGCAGAAGAAGTTGTGTCTGAGACTGTCACTGAAGAAAAGCCAGCAGAAGAGGAAACTTCGAAGGAAGAAGCTGTGACAGAAGTTGCCGAGGAAGCAAAAGAAAATGCTGAACCTGTTGAGGTCAAGACACCAGAAGCTACAGAACCAGTGACAGAAGATGCTGTTAAAGAAGAGAAAGAAGCTGAGGCTGAAGCCAAGGAAGTGGTTAACACAGAAGCCAAGGAAGAGAAAAGTGGTGAAGAGAAGGTTGAGACAGAAGGGTCAGATGAGAAGAAAGAGGAGGAAGTGATCACAGAAGCTGAGAAGACTGAGTGAAGAGGAAATGTGACTGTGTTGAGAGGGTATTATTTTTCAGTTGCATCATCATATGCATGTCTTTTCTTTTCTTTTCTTTGTTTCTAATAAAATTGCTAGTAGCTAAATATGAAGGAGAGATGAATGATGACCCACTTGAGTTTATGAATTCCAACCACTAAGTACTCAACCACGTGGCATACCATATAGTATACATGAGTTGTATGTACTCTCCATCCAAGGTTGTACGAATGAAGTATGTTATGTTTATGGTCCTTGTGTGATTCTGCATGCAGGATAACTTTGTTTCTTCAAATAAATATGTAGATTATTATATGAGTATCCTATGTTTCTTCAATTCAAATAAATATATTATTAGTAGTATGATATTTGCCAACTTTGTCGACTTCCATGCCGTGCGCAACTGAGGAGTTTTATTCCATGACCATATATAATATTATTATTTTTACTTTATTTTCTTTTAAATTTCAACTATTGTAATGAAAATAAAAAAAGACGAAAGTGTATATTTTAAAATATGTTCAATAAGCTGTGGATTAATAAAGAAAATAAATTGATTGATTAATTTGTTTATAGAATAAGCAAAACTAAAATAAATATTTTTCTTATAAGAATCAAATTAATTGAATCCGCAATCATTAATACCATTTTCATTAAAATATTTTTTTAGATCATATTATTTTTATGAAATTTAAACTTTATGTTCATTTCAATGTCATTTTTTTCCTACAACTTTGTTAATGAGTAATAAAATTTCTCAAATAATCTACAACATCATATATATATATAAACAGGAACTCGAATGAGACCTAAGGTACCTTATTGGCCTTGTGCCAGCCGCAACTCAAGTGATCAGTTCTAAAGACTTTGACATATTTAACTAACAATGCAGCATGACATACTTAAAATAATTGATAAATTTACCTTAGTCTTTTATATTTAATAGTGTTTAAATTAAAACAATTATATATTTTTGACGAAAATCAAAATAAATATCTTGAGAACATTTTTAGAAACTATTATTTAATGGTAAAAATTTTATGAACCTTTTTTTTTCAATAAGAAATTTTTTAGGATTTTTTAATTTTAATTTTTTCAATCTATCATTGTCTTTTTCTATTTACAAATTAATTTCTCCATTTAAAAAAATACCAATAATGTTATATCACAATATACATTGTTTATTGTAAATATAAAATAGCATAATTTATATGTTAAAAATATTTATCCGATAAAATTTATTATTTAGATATTTAAAAGTATTTATTTATTATAAATTTTATTTATATAAAATATATAGGCTAAAATACTATTAAATATAGAAGACAAAGTTAAAGAAATATACGAAGACTATTAGTTAGAATCATTAGGATCGATGTTAATATAATATTAAATTTGAAATTTGAATCTTATTACCCTAATTAATGTAATTTATATGGATTAAAAAAAGTACCAGTCATGAAGTCATATGCAGACCTAGGCCCTGTTGTTATTTAGGACAATGACAATATTCCTTGATAAGAATTTTAGAATTTAAATAATAAACTAAGAAATATTGTTATCATATGGGTATTTTTTAACTGAAATAAAATTTAAAATTATAAATATCTGATATTTGAAATTAGAAAATTCCTCATACAGAATCTAGGACCAATCCCCATAAATTTGAGGAAGTCTTACAAAAGCTGAAGCGGATAGAGTTGAGTTGAGTTGAGTTTAGCGGTGTGTTGTGTCTGTAATTTATAATCTACTTAGAATTTGGGTTTGTTAGTTATTGTGAGAGAAAAATGATATCGTTGTTGGCGAACTCAGCAATGGTAAGAGGAAGAGATGAAGTGTATGTGGCAGCAATGGCTCTAAGGGCTACAAAGGGACCACCCCAGTTGCTTATGTCTGCTGCCTATTCCCTCAATTTCTGGGATTTCCAGCATTTCATGGTCATCATCAAACCCTCTTCACCTTCCCAGGTTTCCATTCTTCCTAGCTCTCCTTTATTATTTTCAGTAAATTAGCTACCACCTTCATTGCATTAATCCATCATATTCTTTTAAATAATTAATCGAGACTTTCGTATTTTGTTTAATTTAATATTCTGATTGTTGGGAATAGGATAGTGGCACTTTTTTGTTTCAGTAATTTCATATGACCTATGACTGTGACTTGGTTCTTCTCATGTTCAAGCTCGAGTTCTAAAATTAAATCATGATGACAATGCTTCTTCAGGTTCTGGTTTTTGACTTTCAACCAAAAGACCCCGAAGATATATATGTGGCACTAGCAGCTCTATATGGTAGATCAGTGCCAGGTGAGCCGAGATTACTAGTCTGACATTTGCAGAAAGTTAACTTCTAAATGCTTATGATATTGAATATCAATTACCAAGGTTATGCATGCATTATCCTAGACAGTGCAAAAGTGTAAACTGCTATTATATACAAAATCTTGAAATAAAAGGTACTGGAGATTTATTTACCACAGGCAGTATATTAATGCTATTGATCTCTTTCACAATCACATTCACATGCAAAATGATAAATACAAAAACATGGATTTATAAGTTTCCATACCTTATGGAATTATCAATTATACCTTTGCCTGTTGTACAAGATTGTGATTGCAGTTGGACATAAACCATATCACAAATCACAATATGAACATCTTTATGCATAAAGATGCTCTCCGTGGATGTCACAAATAATTTGCTTCATGAGCTTTTATGTTGTTTATATAATTTCCTTCTAGCCCTCTGTTATCATCACTAGAGTATATGATGCAGTCTGCTCTCATTATATGCCAGAGGAAATTTTTTTTCTGTGTTGTTGTTATTGGAGGAGTAGGAGCTTCAGCATCATGAATTTGATTCTTTGTTGACCATTTTGGACTGATTTATTTATTTGTGACAACTTTTGAACTTTCCAATTGTATTTTCTCTCCTCAAATTTTCTATACATTTACCTTAATCAAATCATAACCTCTGTTTATATATTCCTAGGAGCTGCTCTCGTGAGAAAGTTAAAAAAGTTGCCAACAAACAAATGCTGGTTTGTTGGATATTCAAAAGAGAATGCTGTGGAAATAGCAAGAGAATTCAACCAAAAATGGGAAACAGATTTGAGGATCGGCCTTAATGATTGTCGCGATTATACCAATAGTAAGAATTTATTTCAGTGATGGACCTCATGTTGCATATGCCCTTTTATGGAAAGAATTCTTAGCCCCCTTTATGTTTGTGTGTTACTACTCTTAGCTGTTAAAATGTGGATTTAGGCCTTGCTTAACTCCACAATTCACTTATATATATTGTTTTAGTTATATCACTAATCAAAGTATGATCTTCAACCCTTCATGTGGGTGGTATGATGAACTCAGCAAAGTTTCTAAGATAGGCTTTAATACTATCTTAAAAACGGGAATTTGGTTCTAAATTAACCTAACAAAATTGACTAATAAAGTAAAGGTTGTCCCTCCTGTCCACTACTTATACATATTATTTTGATTATATCACTAATCGATATAGTACCTTATGATATACATAATTGGAAAATCATGAATTATTGATTTCTAGGATCATAATTCAATAAGCTCTAATGTTCCACACTGCCATGGCTCTCTGAAATTGTGTTATTCATACTAAAGAAACTTAGATGGTTGATTTAGAAATTCTAGAGTAAATTATACTATTATTCCTCAGGTTTTATGGGATTACACATAATCTCTTTGCTCCTTTGAAACATCATTCGTTTTACAGGGACAGAATGCAATGTTTTTCAAACAAATAAGAGAGTTCATGTAAATATCTAAAGGATGTCGGTATCTTGTTTTTAAACAATTAAGAAGAGTTAATGTAGAGATAGATAAAGTAGGGAATTTATATATCTGCAATCTCATGAAACCTCCGATACAGTATTTGGCTTCAGCTACTTTTTACTGTATTGGTTTTGCTTTAGTTGATAATGAGATATTGGATTTTTTTGGTCAACTTAAAGGTTTGGTCAAGCAACTGACTGGCGAAAAAGAAGTGCTGAAACGATTGAGAAAACTTGTTAGTTAGAGGGAATCCATTTTCGTGCCAGATGATGACCCTATTGAAGAGTTCTATGATGCTTTGATCATTGTTGAGCACCTTCAACGCTTCACTTGGATGTGAACTATAAACATCATCACCTTCATGGGGTTCTGAAGACTTTCCCCTTTTGTGACGCTCTTTTCTTTGCTTCTATATAGCCTCTGAATCTCTTTTTGTTCTTTTATTATATTACGGAGCTATAAATGATAATAAAAAGATTACGAGAAAGTTTGGTACCTCATTGTGTAATATATTAATACTCTCCAAAACAATGTGCAGTTCATGTCCGTATCATATCATGTTAAATTCTAAAGTGAGTTTATGTCAACTTACGGAAATAAAATAATTTATCCCTCTCGCGTGCTCTTTTTTAACTTACTTTAATAAGCTTCTGTGCAATTTATCAAAATATTTTTTTCAGCTAAATTCTTACTTTTAGTCTTCTTATTTTAAATTAAATACATTCGATCTTCTCATTTTAAAAATATAAAATTTTAATTTTATCAATGATTCGCCAATCGTTGATTATTAAATTTTAAAGTTATTATTTAAGTGATATGTCATTTATATTTTTCTTAGAATAATGGATTAAGCCTAATTCTATCCTACAAAACCGGCTTGTAAGGTGAGAGTTGCTTTCCACTTATATACTATTCAATTGCCTAATCTCTAGTCGATGTGAGACTTGAGTTTTTTTCAATACACCCCCTCACGTCCAGCACTATTGGGCTTGGTACGTGGATAAATGGTGGGTGGTCTTTTTAATGATCTAGGATTGGCGGGACTTGAATTTTTTCCAATACACCCCCCATGCCTATGGCGCATGCATCAATGGTGGGTGACCCATTAAAGTGGATCTAAATGACTTTGATACCATCTTATAATAGTGGATTAAACCTAACTCTACCCTACAAAACCCGCTTGTAAGGTAAGGGTTACTTTCCAATTATATACTATTCAATTGTCTAATCTCTAGTCGATACGGTACCTACTATAATTGTGGGGTACCAGAACAGTCATTTTATTTTTATTTCTTTTTATTGTACTTACTTGTTTTATTTTTATTTTAATTTAATATTTTTAATAATTTATCTGTCTAAATTTTTTTTTATATCTTTATATTATTTTTATATTTTTTAGTTTATATCTTAATGTAGCATCTATTATAATTAAAAAGTTTAATATTAATATTTTGTTAATATGTTTTAGTTTTTCTTTGATGATAATTTTTTTGAATTTATAGTATAAATTAGTTTTTCAGTTGTATTATTTGTTTTTTTTATTTTAATGTTTTTATAATATTATTATAATTTTTTATTTTTTATTTTTTAATTTTGTCACATATAAACAAAATTTGTTATGGAAATTGACCTTTTCATTATTTTTCTTTTGAATTAGTCTTTTTTATTGATTCAACTTATACAAATTTTTAATCTAAAATTTATGTTATTTTGAATTTATTTTTAAAAATTTATTTGTTCACATAATTTGATGTATCAAAACCTTTCAATTTTCATGAATACCATAGCAGTTCCCTTTTTAAAATTAAAAAGTTGTGGAATTAAATTTGGTCAAACTTTTGAAAAACTAAGGGTAAAAATAAAAAAAATATATTGAAAAAAATAATTATTCCTATAATTTATTATTTGAATTAATTAGTTTTGATTAAATTTTAAAAGGATATTTTGAAAATATAGTTATTTAATGAGAAATAAACTTTTGTTTCGGAAACATGCGTTTGTCTCTGTTTCTAGAACAAGGTCATCATTATCCACTTTTACCCAAAAAAACACAACCGCGGAGTTTCCTACAAACTCATTTTTTATATCACTTTTAGTTGAATAATCAAAAGGAAAATTAGTCCACTTCTCCTAGTCTTACTAATATTTTACAAGTTATCTACTGTAGTGTAAAAAATATTTTTTTAATTAATCAAAAATTATAATTTGTATAAATTTTAAGATTATTATTATAAAAATCAACAAACTTATCATTTATAATAGTGAATTGTAATTAAATAATTGTATAAAATTATTTTATACCAACAATGTATTACTATCAACTTATATTTTTAATGCATATATCTATTAAATATATTATGATAATTTAAAATGTTAAAGATATAAAAGTTAAATATGTATATTTATACTTATTTTACATGAAAAAAAATGTTTGAAATTAGAATTAGTTGTTTTAAATATTTTTAATGATTTTGTAACTATGTTAAATACTAACTCTAATTACATTTTTACTAGTTGAGATTTGAGTTTGAATCTAACATTTTGTTTTTATTTTTTTATATTCTTTCATGTAAATTTGTATTGAGATGAGGTAGATAATTTATAATTTTTCTAAAAATATTAAAAAAAATGATGATTGACTCTAACCTTTCATGAGATTGTACTTTCTTAATTTAAACTTTTACATTACATTAAAAAAAACCTCTAATTTAAATAATTATTCTAGAAGTAAAATGCAATTATACTTGTGATACATATTTCAGCCGTCACGGGTGGGTGCATGGACTATAATTTTCAAAAAATGTGTGTAAGCAATTTGTGCCCTCGTAGTCATATATGCATATGTGAATTTCATTGCTCCCTTCACAAGCTTTCATTATCAACTGTCAACAATTCAAAGTTGTCAAAAGCTTGAATTAAACACTCGGAGACTTATATAAGAAATTTATTTCTTTATTTATTATGAATTTTAATAATTTAATTTATATATTAATAACACTTATTATCATAAATTTAATTATATAAAAATAAATATTTTTCTTGTGACTTCAATGTACAAATTAAAATACTAATTTTATATATAAAGTAATTTTTTTATTTATTTATCTTAATCACTATAATAATTAAAAATTATGAGAGATTATATTTGAGTAAAAATTTATTGAGGCTAGACCAAAATTATTTACTTTTTATTGTATCAATACAATACAATATGATTAAAACATAATATTTGAATACTCATATCATGATAAACATTGGCTATGTGTTATAAAAAGTGAATTTTTTTTATCATGTGTTGACCCGTCATAGATTGTGATTATAAATTAAGTTCTATTATTTGTATATAAAAATAGTACTATACATATCATTCTTTTTCTTAAAATTATTTTTAAATAAGATAACTTTCATTTTTAGTTTCTTGAAAAACAATGTTTTCACAGTTCCATATTATATATTACTTATATTATTGTCATCATAAATTACACACTATCATTTATGCATAAAAAGTACTATCAATTTCATTATTTTCTTCAAATCATTTAAAAAAAAAACAACTTTCATTTTTATTTATAAACAATACTTCATATTTTCAAATTAGTGAAAAAAGGGATTCCATGTTTAGTTAATATTATGAGATGCAGAAGTTACGAAGTGATTATGTTGCAATTTATTCTTAGAAAATTATAATTTTTTTTATTTAAATCAATTAAGTGAAATTATCATAATAAATAAAGGATAAAAACATCTTAAAACTTGTGTAAAAAAATGATAAATCCTCTATGTTATTATAGATTATATATTGCATATATTATGGTCAACATAAATTATATTATATCATTTATTTATAACATATAAAGGCGATAACTTGATTACATATATATATTTTAGACGATTTTACTCTTTAATTTTTAAATAATAAAAAATAATATTAAAATTAACTATCCTTAAAATTACAAGACTTAAACCTGTGATCTTGAGATTTGAAGATCAAGTATAACATTGATTGATATAATAAATATTTATAATTTTTAAATACTTTTATTAAATAAAATATAGAGACATAAAATATCTCAATCCTACTAATATATATAAAAATATTACTGTCAATTTCATTCCTTACTTAAAATTATTCTTTAAGAAGAAATATTTCATTTTTGATTTATCAAGAGAATTAATGCTTCCATATTATACATATTGATTGCTTTAATGAGATTATTTTCTAGTATCTGTGTGAGGAGATATTTTATAAAGATTATTTCACACACAATTTTACAAATTGTTTGTTTTAGGCCTAAACTTTCATGATTTTATTTTTAGTCATCACTCAAATAACCTTCCAATTATTGGAGTATGTGTGTGTTTTATAAATTATTAATTTTTCTTTTATCTTATCAATATGAAACTTATTTATATCTCAACATACTTGTATCTTATTTTTTATTCTCAAATCTCCGTGTTTTATATATATATATATATATATAAAAGAAAGTGTACAATATAAGTGTGGTCAACTCCCGTCAAGATATCTAATAATTAAAACAAAAACAAAAATTCCACAAAAAATATATAAATTTTAAATATAATTTTTATGTTCAAACATATTTTTTTATCATAAACTTTAATTATATAAAGTATTTATCTTCTACATAATATAAAATTAAAATATTAATTTTAAATATAAAGTGAATGTGATATTTTTTTTTTACTGTAACTAAAAGATGAGGACCAAAATTACAAGCAAATAATAATATTAAAAAAATAAAGAGTTTAACAATTATATACCGATGATAACATAAAATTATCAACTAATCACATTATTGATTTTTGCTTACATTATTATTTAATATTATCAACTAATTACAAATTATGTTATAAATGATTTTTCTAAAATTAATAAAAATTTTATATGTAATGATAGTTTAATTTTTTTGTTTCTTGAAATTACAATAATGTCAATACTTAGAACTGTCTTAATTCTCACTACTACGTCAAAAATTAAATGATATATACTCCCTCTCGTCTTTAAAAATAATGGTCTTTTTTTATAAAGTAATTTACAATTTGTATAAAGTATTAATTTAATTTTTCATTTTTAACTCTCTAGCTAATAAAAGTTGTGAGAACATGTGTTTTTTTTTTAGATAATAAGAAGAGAATTTAAAAAATAGATATTCTCTTTCACCTCTTAATTTTTTCAATTGTCATTTTTTAGTTTTATCAATATTATTACATTAACTTTGACATAAATAATATATTCACCTCTCATAAAAATTTAATGATAAATAAAAAATAAATTTAATATATCAGAATTTTATTTTACAAACTCAACGAAATTAACTAAGACGATTATTTATATTCATCTCACTGATTCACTAAAAACAACAACAATTAAAATAGTATATAAGAATTAATGTCCATACTGATTTCACTTATCTAAATTATATTATTCTTAATATATTTTGAATTATAAAATATTTGTTTGAATAGTCAAGTTGATAATAGTTTAATTTCTTCCTGAACGGGATGATAGAGGTGAAAAATTGACGTACCACAACCATTTTCCAGCAGGATCAATCTTCTGCCATTCATTATTAGTTGTTGCAAGAAAAAGCAA